GAGATGACCTGAGGTTTTCTAATACATCTGGTATTCTGCAAAAAAAACTATGTGGTTTATTGGTGTTGAAGTAGAGCAAGAGACGAGTGCACCCCCTCCTAAAAAGAATCCTGAATCCGCCCCTGTTAATCCATTTTTATTCACCTCGCCTGCGGCCGACACAGAAGCTACCATATTTATGCCAAGTTTTTACCAAGTAGTTTGAAACTCGTTCCCGGTTTTTCGCGGGCGCTAAGTTCATCATGGCGGCGACCGGAGACATTCATTGCCTCATCCATAGAAACGAGTCGGTGCCACATAAACAGCTGGGATCCATTTTCTTGCATTTTTATGTTAAATGTTAAACCACTGAGTTTTTACTACATTCGATAATAACTGTTTAAACATTTGCTCCGGCCGATTTAGTAAGGTTTTTGATGTTGAAAAACGAATCTCGTTTAGCAAATTTTAAACTGAGAAATAATTCAATGACGGATCTTCAAAAAGGCAGGCCGGATCACACTACAATCGCGATTCAAAATGAAGGGAGTAAGGAAGACTCTGAAAGCCGTAAACACTTGGTGGTTTTGGGAATCTCATTGGATTCTTTGCCCAGAGCAACTCAATTCTTAGTATGTTGTGGAGGAGTCTTCCTGTTTTATCTTATCTATGGATACGTGCAGGTGAGGAATAGATATAAGATAATAAACATTGAAGCCTCAGAAAATCATCATTGGTCGGCTGATCTCACCGTCTGGTTTGTTTTCTTGCAAACGTCAACCCCCTGAGCCTGGGGTGAGTGGGTTATCTGTAAGGAAAGATCTTACTATAGATGGTTTTCACAGTGACGTCATCAAATTGTTTAAGTCAAAATAGTGCGGTTTTACGAATTCTTATTTACACTAGGTTGAAGATAAACAAAAAATAAATCTTTGCACAAGTTTCCCTTCCCGTAGCATATTTCATTTCAAAAATACAGCAATTTGAACTTCCGAGTTTTTACAGTGCGTTGCACCAAAATCCTTGGAAAAAAGTCTCTCCTCTTGATTTTCAGCAGCATAACCATTTCAAGTATTAGAAGGTATTTTTATGAGCACGTATGCTAGTTCTCAAGTGAAAAGAAAGAGCTTTTATAGAAAAAGTGGACTCCAGCTGTTTTTGTTGATTTCCGGCGGCCATATTGGTGGACCAAAACGGTACACCAATATGGCGTCTCCATACAAAGCTCTACTCAGGTGCATGAAATGTTTCAGCAAATTACTCAGAAACTGTGGGCCAAAGTCTTGAAATTTGGACAAATTGTTTATATTTTAGTCTTTTATAACATTTCATTTTCTGGGCTTTTTCCACTGGACAGTTTCTAATTTAATTTTTTGTTGTGTGACAGTGAAAACAATCTATAGGGATAACCTCATGATCCTCCCTCAGGTGTCATAATGACTACCAGTCCAGTAAACTGATGGTGTATGCATGTATGTAGAGGGGAGAACTGGGAACAGCGAGTATGAAGATTAAAATTAAATTTCCTCCCCTCCCCCATCAGCAGTCCTTGGTATAACAAATGATAATCTTTGCCCCAGTTCTAGTAAAGTATTTTATGAAAAAAAAGAATAAGCAGAAAATTATGCCAATTTAATGAACCCTATTATAGCGAACATATTTTGCCTTGACCCTTCATTATATCAAAGTTCCTCTGTACTTGTGGTTACTTTTATTTTAATATGTGCTTTAAAGGTAAATGGGGGCACAGAGGATGTGATATGATGAGTGCCAAATTAGCTCTTATTTGGCTCTGTCTGCTCTACTGCGGCCGACACAGAAGCTACCATATTTATGCCAAGTTTTTACCAAGTAGTTTGAAACTCGTTCCCGGTTTTTCGCGGGCGCTAAGTTCATCATGGCGGCGACCGGAGACATTCATTGCCTCATCCATAGGAACGAGTTGGTGCCACATAAACAGCTGGGATCCATTTTCTTCCATTTTTATGTTAAATGTTAAACCACTGAGTTTTTACTACATTCGATAATAACTGTTTAAACATTTGCTCCGGCCGGTTTAGTAAAGTCTTTGATGTTGAAAAACGAATTTCGTTTAGCAAATTTTAAACTGAGAAATAATTCAATGACGGATCTTCAAAAAGGCAGGCCGGATCACACTACAATCGCGATTCAAAATGGAGGGAGTAAGGAAGACTCTGAAAGCCGTAAACACTTGGTGGTTTTGGGAATCTCATTGGATTCTTTGCCCAGAGCAACTCAATTCTTAGTATGTTGTGGAGGAGTCTTCCTGTTTTATCTTATATATGGATACGTGCAGGTGAGGAATAGATATAAGATCATAAACATTGAAGCCTCAGAAAATCATCATTAGTCGGCCGATCTCACCGTCTGGTTAGTTTTCTTGCAAACGTCAACCCCCTGAGCCTGGGGTGAGTGGGTTATCTGTAAGGAAAGATCTTACTATAGATGGTTTTCACAGTGACGTCATCAAATTGTTTAAGTCAAAATAGTGAGGTTTTACGAATTCTTATTTACACTAGGTTGAAGATAAACAAAAAATAAATCTTTGCACAAGTTTCCCTTCCCGTAGCGTATTTCATTTCGAAAATACAGGAATTTGAACTTCCGAGTTTTTACAGTGTGTTGCACCAAAATCCTTGGAAAAAAGTCTCTCCTCTTGATTTTCAGCAGCATAACCATTTCAAGTATTAGAAGGTATGTTTATGAGCACGTATGAAAAGAAAGAGCTTTTATAGAAAAAGTGAACTCCAGCTGTTTTTGTTGATTTCCGGCGGCCATATTGGTGGACCAAAACGGTACACCAATATGGCGTCTCCATGCAAAGCTCTACTCAGGTGCATGAAATGTTTCGGCAAATAACTCAGAAACTGTGGGCCAAAGTCTTGAAACTTGGACAAATTGTTTATATTTTAGTCTTTTATAACATTTCATTTTCTTGGCTTTTTCCACTGGACAGTTTCTAATTTATTTTTTTGTTGCGTGACAGTGAAAACAATCTATAGGGATAACCTCATGATCCTCCCTCAGGTGTCGTAATGACTACCAGTCCAGTAAACTGATGGTGTATGCATGTATGTAGAGGGGAGAACTGGGAACAGTGAGTATGAAGGTTAAAATTAAATTTCCTCCCCTCCCCCATCAGCAGTCCTTGGTATAACAAATGATAATCTTTGCCCCAGTTCTAGTAAAGTATTTTGTGAAAAAAAAGAATAAGCAGAAAATTATGCCAATTTAATGAACCCTATTATAGCGAACATATTTTGCCTTGACCCTTCATTATATCAAAGTTCCTCTGTACTGGTGGTTACTTTTATTTTAATATGTGCTTTAAAGGTAAATGGGGGCACAGAGGATGTGATATGATGAGTGCCAAATTAGCTCTTATTTGGCTCTGTCTGCTCTATTGATACAGGAGTG